ATTATTATTATTATTATTATTATTATTATTATTATTATTATTATTATTATTTAAATTGATATCTCAATTAGAAAGTTGAATAACCCTAAAAAATAGATTTTTATATAAAAAAATGTCCAAGTTTTAAATTACAAATACACTCACACACACACGCACACACACAAACAAATATCTTATTAAATTACGTATAAATATTATCGAAATATATTATTACAAAATTTACAATGAGAAAACGGATAAGAATATTACTATGACTCACTGTACATTAACGGTTTTGTGAATAATATTTAATATACGTCTGTGTGTGTACACGTGTGTATGTTTCTCTTTTTTAGAAGATTTTTTGTTAACATTAAAAAGACACATGCCGATCACACACCGATCATACATTGATCACATCACCCACTTACAGTAGAATAACGTTGTAAGATTTACACTCACACATACATATATACAGAAAGGACTATTTTACTTGTACATGTAGTCCGACCTTTAAAACGTTTCCGCGATCTTACATAGTAATTAACATTACGATCCAACTATTCAACGACGTAATGTACTTTGTACAACTTTACGTGCACGTACATTTATGATTTGCATTCAACCAATCAGAATCACCTATATCTTTTCATCTTATCTTCTTATTCTTATAAACAAAGATTTTTGCACAAAAGAAAATGTAAAAAGTAAAGGAATTTCATTTAACAGAAAACATTGTACACAAGATAATTAAAATGTTTTGATTCTTTTCTAATTACATGAATCACGTATAATTGTGCTCTTAGGTTGTTATAATTATTTTTTTCTATTTATTATTATTATTATTATTATTATTATTATTATTATTATTATTATTATTATTATTATTATTAAGTATGACGTTATAGAAGTAAGTATCATTATTCAAATATTTTTGAACATACTTTACTTACAATTAGCGAACTAATTGAATTCGTTCTAGAAAATGTTATATTGTTGTAATATACCATTTAACGGATGTATTTTATGAGAGTGATAATGGTGGTATATGTGAGTGCTCGTATATGCACACAAATGAACTTTGTGTTCTCTCGTAACGTTTCTATTGTCCTTGATACACGAAAGCGTAATAGCCGTGTCAGAATAATCACGTTTCTTGTACTTACCAATCATTGATATATCCGATTATTAGAAATATGAATTTGTTAATGAAATATACAACGTTCAAATTAATTTTCTATTGATTACTTTCCTTATTTTTTTCTTTTTATTTTTCTTTTCATTTGTTTTCCTGTTTACAGTCATTCAAACAAAAATAGAAATCAATATATTCTCTAACGTCATTCGGGAATAATCCCATAAAAATTGGAATTTCACGTTAGAAGATATTAAAGGGCAAGACATTTTCATCAATAAATTAAGATTTGAAGACCTGTTTTATCTTCAATTAAAACAAATGTTTAAAGCCGGCAATACATGTAAACGCCTAAATTTTGACCGTTTTTCAGAGTCTTATTTAAAATGGAAGAGAATAAATGAATCGTTTTGAAACTCAGCATGTTTATTCATTACATATTAAAACATAAGAATCTGATTTTTTTTTTTTCTTTTCAAAATGACCGCCGTAGTAACTAATTTCTTGAGGCCCTCGCGGCGAAAGGCATCAATCAATGTGATTTTTAGCTTTAATTACAGCAATCTAAAATGAAAAAAAAAAAAAAGATTCGGAGCGTGTTCATAAAACATGTATCTTCTAGTTGAACAAAGGAAGCACTAAAAAGTCAAAAAAAAATCCTAAATTGGCACGACTCAGACAAAAAAGTCTGATTTTTGATCCTTTTTTTTAACGGTTTTTGGGTCAAAAATGGCAATTTTGGAAAATTTTTGTTGCATTCTTAAAGTTCAACTAGAAGCTAATACTATAAAGAAAATGTATGCTAAATTTCATAGGAATCGGTTGAGAACTTTTTGAGTTATCTTGCACCACAGTTTGAAAAAAGTTCGAAAATTCGATTTTTTTTTTTGTATTTTACATGTATCACCGGCCTTAAGATAAAAATAGACAGAACGTATTTACGAAGATACATGTAATGTATAACTACCTGTCATTATATATATATATATGTAGAATTTCATTCTAAAAATTTACAGGCATATTTTTAAGATGGTAAACAAACTATTTATGAAAAAAAAAAATTCGATTGTTTTTTTGTTTTACGTGTATCACCGGCCTTAAGATAAAAATAGAAAGAACGTATTTACGAAGATACATATAATGTATAATTACCTGTCATTATATATATATATATATATATATTTATATATAAAAAATGAAAAAGTATTATCTCGTTAATCGTACAGACAAACGCATATCTTATCATGACATTTTAGCTTTCAAAATTAGATAAACAAAAAAGAACAAATTTCAAGACGTAACTACAATAGTATGACGATAATTCAAAGCTTTCTAAAAAATCGTACAATTAAAATAATCGATTGTTTTAATAAGAAATTCTTCGAATATATATCATTTATTAATTTGTAAGAGAATTCTTGAATTAATTTATTCGAATAGCTACGATTAAACGTTATGAAAGAGATTTTTTTTTTAATGTTTCGTTTGAAATAATTTAGTTTTAGAAGAAGAAATAAAAGAGCAATTAAACAAACAAACAAACGAACAACAAATTCGAAAGAAAATGTTGAATTTCTCGTAAAATGATTCATTGTGATACGATAGAAAAACAAAAAAAAATTGATGTTTAAATCGTTACTTCTTAAGTTTATTTCGATGAAATCTGATTGCTCGAGGAAAGTACTTAGCGTCCTCGGGAATCCTTGGTACCGTCGGATTGGTCGAATAAATGGAATTTCTTCGTCGAGGCTCTTGGGAGTTCCCAAGACGCGTTTACACGCCTCCAGGCGCAACTCATGACGTAGAAAGTGACGTCGATAAAACACACGTGCGAGGTAGCAAGTATGTTAGGTATTGTGACTCTTTACGTATGAGGAAAATTTTTTCCTTTTTTTTTTTTTTTACATTTTATTCAATCTTATTTTCATCTCTCGTTTAATTTTCTTATAGATATATTTATCTTATTATTATTATTACTATTATTATTATTTAGCTTACATTAATTTGATACTTTCGCTAAATCGTTGGCAAAAAAAAAAAAGAATATTTAAACTACAAATATCTAACTTTCCTCGAAGTTTTGCGTAAAACATTTTTTTAACGTGAAACAAAAAAAAAATAACGCTCAATGACGTTATATCGACTTAGGTTTGATTTTTCTTGTCTCTAACATAAATGAAATATTCGAGATATTGCATTTATGAAAATTAACGTTTTAATAAATGAAAAAAAAAATGTAAAATGAAAGTGTTCTCTAACGAATCAAACAAGATTTCCCTTGTACTATATGAAAATATTGAAAAATAATAATATAGAAATATTTTGTTGCGTTTTATAACGATTAATATCTAAATATAGATATGTAAAATAATCTTATATCTAATTAACTTCTTAAAATAGGAAAAAAGTGTCTCGAGATCAAAGGTTATAACACGCAACACGCAACACGCATACATACGCATACAAATTTAAATTATATTCGTATTTGCGTTGTTTCTTTCGTAAGTACTTTATTTTATCATTAATTCGATCGTAAATCAGATCCTACGATAGGAGGAGCACGATTTTTCCAACACGGAACCGGCGTAAGCTCGAGAATTCTTAATAGCAACGATTAAGCACAATAACAGAGAAAATTTCAATTATTCAAGGATATCAATTACAATACAACTCTAATAATTATATATTAATAAAAAATACGATATATCTATCTATCTATCTATCTATCTATCAATCTATCTATAAACCATAATTTATTGTACGAAAATGTACATTTAATAAACATAAATATAATACATAAAATATTTTGTTATAAGTGATAATAAATGATAAATATTCAACAAATAATATTATTTAATCGTATTCACCTTTCGTAAAATACTCCACGTAAAATAATCACGGTTAAACAAAATAAAAAAAAATAAAAGAGACAAAGAATCAAAATTAACAAATCAAAATTGATAACAATTGTTAACAAAATAACGATATTTCCTTTTACAATATTGTTAATAACTTTTGTTACATTCTTAAAAAGAAAAAGAAAAAAATAAAGGAATATAAAATTAGTGTAAATAACAAGTCACTATTGCAAATGATAACAACATAACGATATTTTCTTTTACAATATTGTTAATAACTATTGTTACATTCTAAAATGACCAAAAACACCCTGAAAAAGTAAAATAGTAAACAAATGAGTATAAAAAAGCATAGAAAATTGAGTCCTATAGGATCGTAGGGTATTAGGAGGGAAAGGAGAAGGATGATGGAAAGTACGCTTATTAGAAGGACGACAGAGAAGAAAGAGAAAAAGAGGAAGAGAGTAAAAGAGAGTGATAGAGAAAGAGAGAGAGAGAGAGAGAGAGAAATATAGAAAAAAGAAAGAGAGTGGTTTGGGAGGAGGAAATGCGATGCGCCGGAGCGTAGAAGAGAAGTTGGTGGTGGTTAGGACGGTAGCTGGGAGATTGCAGCTCGATGGACCACCCGAAACCCCGTTTGATGTTGGAGTGGGGGTGTTGTAGGGGTGGGGGCACCCCTGACCCCGGAATTAACTGGCGCGGTGAAGGGAGGCAACGTTTATATGCCGCGGCAATCCGCCCTGTAGACGCATTCGCTCGTACGCTTCGTCCAAAAGAGGGCTTTTTATACGAAAGAAAGAGAGACATTTAACAACCGTCGGTCTTCTCTTCTCTTATCTTTCTCGTGGTCTCCAAATAGTCGTACATATTCGTCTACTACGAAGAAATATAACTTCGGAAGAGGAAATATACAAAAGAAATATTCTAAGTTTGAAGAAAGAAATTACATCGGACAAACGCGGACAAATTGAAATTGTTTGTTTGTTTTTTTTTTAATCGATATTTAACGATCGAAGAAATATAACAAATTTCTTTAGTCCAATTAGTTCGGATTTTATTTTCGAGAATAAATATATATATATATATTTATATATGTTTAGCTCGATCAACGAGTAACTTGTCAAATCGAATATTTGGAGAAACAAAATATTCTTCGATTGGAAAGATTGATTAACCCTCCTGTCAACCAAGTTCGAGTAATATTTTCTTTGTCAACCGAAATAGGCAGTGAAGAATAAAACGATTTATTGATTTATTGAGAGAGACAAAAAAAGCAGCAGCAAAGTACTTGTTTTGTTGTTGTTGTTGTTGTTATTGTTGTTTCGGGATAATTATTATCATTGTTATATCGTAATTCGTATCAGGCCGAAAAATATTTATCGACGAATCATAAAGACGAAGTTTAAGAGACGTAAAATTACGAGGAAGATATATATATATATATATTCGCGCGTACACGTTTTCAAAGCTTTCCACTAAAGAAAAATTGGAGAGAGTTTGATATACGAAATGGCAGTAGCAGCAGCTCAGAAGAATCGCGAAATGTTCGCCATTAAGAAGTCGTACAGCATTGAGGTGAGTTTCCTTTTTTTTTTTTTTATTGATAAATATTTATAATAACGTGTAGTTTTGACAGATCGTATGAATTTTACAATACGACGATAATTACTGATAATTTATTAATAAGTCAACGTTAAGAATCAATTTGCAGTTGTTTCAAATGGTATTTCGAAACGGTTAGTTTGGAGATTTCAATGCGTGTAAAATTCGCACGGATGTTGCATACTCATCGGGAGACGATCATCGTGAATCGGAAGTAACTGTTGTTTGTTTCGTATATTTACGGTTATTTGAAGAATTTTTTTCTCTCTTTTTTGTTTTTTGTTTTATACAATTATTTCTAGTAACGTTTTGTACGTCTCGTAAAACGTTTTATTTACATAACCCATTTTTTTGTTCTCACGATAAAAACGATCTCGTCTACTAAACGTTGTTGTTAACCTAAGTGAAACTCATCGTGCATAAATTTTGTAATCAAATAAAAGGAAGAACATATGTATGAGGAAAAATCAAGAATATTCGATTAGAGAAAGTCTATTCAAACGTTTCAAATATTAATGATTGGAATTTATATAAATTCTTTCTCGTGATATATGATATTTCTCTGTCAAAACAAAAATGTTGAAGCTAACGTTAGAAAACGTTAGTTACAAATCGTCATATCGTAAAATCAACGATCTTTCCTATTTTTTTTTTATTTTTATATAATTTACATAGTCCATAAATATAACTATACCTATTACGTGTTATCCCACGTGTAACAAACGTGATAAAAGGAAATAATACAATTTCTAAACTTTATTTCCCTTTTACCGTGTATTTTAAAATTATCATTAACAAAGATCTCACGTCATTGAGACAAGAAAATCATATGTTGTGTTCGTCAATGTTCGTTCAAGTCGCGTAATGACCGGTTGATGATGAATCCAATAAACGATACCAGACACGAGTATGTGTATGTTCAAATGTATCCCATGGTTTTTCCTTTCTTTTCTTTTTCTTACCAAATGATTGTCATCACATATCTTTATCATTCTAAATTACTTCTATTTAAAGTCATTTTCCTAATGAGGAACCTTATCGTTCAATGACTAATCAACCATAATTGCTAATACACTTCTTTCTAAACAATACAATCTTCCAAGTTCAATCTATCTATTACTATATACAGAATTTTTACGGGTTTTATAATAAAACATATACAATGATATTTATGATAATCAAACTAATCGATATCTAAGATGATTTACGTAACATTATAAGTATCATTAGTTTACTAGGAAAAACGTCTCTGATATCTAATTATATTTATATATAATTTTATTTTAACAACTCGTGTGTATACCGGTGATACAAAATTATTTATACGGCTTATCTATTTTTTTTTCCTTTCGTCACCGTTAGTAATAAATAGAAAATAAACAGAGGAGGAAAGATGAAAATCAAATAAGATGATAATCTACGAAACATTTTAGATCATTATCATAGATGTATATATAACTGTATATATAATTCGTCGATTGAGGAAATAAACAAGACTATTATTTTCAAATGAGATAGATAAAGAAAGAGAGAGAGAGAGAGAGAGAGAGAGAACAAAATATACAAGAATTAGACAAATATTTAATTTGAAATTTCCATTAGAATATACGTACTTTATTAATTTTATGGTTCGTCGACCAGATCGGTAGTAGAATAAATTAACATCAATTAAAAAAATGTTGGCTAATTCAGTGAGATATTCTTTATACTGTGTGAGAATCGATCGAAAATTTTGA